TTGGAGCGTGAAGACGATGGAATGTGGTGAGACTGAAATTCCCTCAAAGTGGCATGTATTTTTATGTAAAACCAGGGAAAATTCCATATTTTATTATAAATACAATGGTAAATTATTATGCTGGGGAGTATTATAATCCAATTTTTATGTCAAAAGATGACTCTTGAGAGGAGGAGTAAGTTATGATGTTGATTGGACTAGGATGGAAGCTGACTTATATGACACGAAGTGAACAGATTTAAGAGACATTTAGAAGATAAAATTGATGATATAGAAAAGCGTGATGGCTGGGTTCCTGACTTTAATGACTGGACAGATGATCGTATTCATCATTTGCTAAGATGGAAAAAGATGTCTCTGTGGGTTGACTGAAGCACCATGTTCTGAATCAAGTGTTTCCGTCTGAACAAGCTAGGTTTGAGATATCTGTGAAATATCTAATTAGAAATGTTAGACAAGTTGAATATATTAATATGTTAACCTGGAGCTCATAAGAAAGATCCTGGGTAGAAATACAAAGATATGAACTATTACCAGGAAATAGCATTGAAAAATACGAAATTAGATAAGCTAATCAGGAAGAGAGTACAGGAGTAAAAAAGAAGAGGAACCAGGTCCATATTCATAGGAATATAATCATTTACAGGCTGATAGAGAAATAGAAACCAGGGGAAGACACACAGGAATAACAGAGAAAAAGACAGGAAAATGTGGTATCACAGAAACAGAGAGTAGAGACTCTAAAGAAAAAGGGAATAGCTGACAGGTCACTTTAAACAAAAGATTTAGTACATTGAAGTCAAGACACTTCCAGCTGGGCGTGGTGGCTCATGCCTGTAATCATAGCACTTTGAGAGGCTGAGGCAGGGGTATCACCTGAGGTAAGGAGTTCAAGACCAACCTGGCCAACATGGTGAAACCCTATCTCTACTAAAAATACAAAAATTAGCTGGGAGTGGTGGCGGGTGCCTGTAATCCCAGTTACTTGGGAGACTCAGGCACAAGAATCGCTTGAACTCAGGAAGTGGAGATTGTAGTGAGCTGAGATCACACCACTGCAGCACTCCAGCCTAAGTGACAGAGCAAGACTGTATCTCCAAAAACAAACAAACAAAACAAAACAACAACAACAAAGAAAAACTTCCTTTTCTATTTAGCAAGACAGAGGTGATTGATATTTTGGAAAAATAGTGTAATAACATGCAAAGGGTGGAAACCAGATTGGAGTATGTCAAAGTCAATATCACGTGAGGAAATTGATTCGGTGAATCAAAACAACATGTTTAAGAAATTTTGCTTAGACAGAGGGCTGAAGAATAAAGTGGAATTTAAAGGATATTAGGGATAAAAGGGAGCTTTCCTTGCTGTTTTGCTCATGAACGCGGCTCATTATGACTTGGTTGTGTGCATATAAGAACACTGAAAATGAACCAGAAGAAGGTGGCGAGATAGGGCTTGGAGCAAAGAAGAGGCTGGTGTTTGCTGCAATAAACATGGATGCCATCTCTTTTAGTAGCAAAGAGAAGGGGAAAAGTTCTGGTGATATAAGTAGATTTCTATGTTTGGTGGTGAGAAAAGATGAGGAAATTCACATTTGAGGACTGTTGCTTTTTCGGTGGAGTGTAAGATTAGAATTAATCATCAATTGAAAGTGAGAGTAGAGAAAGGGCAAGTGGTTTTAAAAAAAGAGAAGAAGAGGGTTAGGAATGCTAGGCTTTGGGGAAATTAAGAAATAGGGCAAATTGTATTGAATGCTGATTGGTGGTATTTGATCTTGAAATGAGAATGCAGCACCTAGTGAGCTGGTTGTATGATTTCTCACCAAGTCTAGTGATATTAAAAAGAAGACAGCTAGTAAGAATTATCCAAGTTTTGACTTTTCTCCCTTGAAAATAATGAGTGTAAAATGCAAGAATTTGAGAATATTTGAAAAAACAGTGAAGATGATGATAAATTGTGAAATCTGTGTTAGATAAGAAGGATAGTGATACCTGGAGGGAATTGAGAGATCATAAGAAATTAATGTGGTCAGTGGATCAGAGATCTCTGTAAAGTCAAAGGTTGCATCAAAGTCAGGATGACTTCATCAGTTACTAGCCACTCACCTTCTAGATATTTTGTTCAAGCGAATAGTTATTTCCTTAGCTGATGCTTTTCAAAGGATCATTTAAGGTATGTAAATATCATAATCACTGGCTATGTGTGTAATAATGAAGATGAATGGCTTGGTCCAGGCTCAGAAGTGTAGATAGTACAAATATATGAGAGATGCATATGCCTAAACACAATATCTGCAGGGTAGGCTGTGTTCTTACTATTTGTTTCTGGCATCATACGCTATCACCATGAGAGAATTTGAGCCCTGAATTAGACAATCCCCAAAGAAAAGCATCATATGTGTGCTTAATAAACGTTTTGGATGATGAGGGTGACATGATGATGTCCTGTTTTTGAGTAAGTAGCATTAAAGTAAATATTGGTTTTCTCTGAATGGAAGAAAACAGAGAGACTTCATTAATATTTATATGTACAGTTCAAAGTCATGAATGTAATATGATATTTTTCTCCTGTTATACAAATTAGTGCTCCATAATATGACATGACTTTAGAAGGAGTGCTGATATTTAAAACAATGCATTATATACTAATGACCTCATACTTTAGAAGTCCTTTTAATAAATGTTCGAAGAGGTGTGTGAAATAATTATTTCAATGTAAGAATGTATGTAAGAATTCAATACTAATGTAAGAATGTAAGAATTCAATGTAAGAATTCAATACTAATATGAGTTAGTGTTTACTTTTAGCTACTCCTTGATACTCTTTTGTTTTCTTTTTGCAGCATTACTGAGTTTTATGTTACTTTTTTTTTTTTTTTTTGAGATGGAGTTTCGCTCTTGTTGCCCAGGCTGGAGTGCATGGTGCGATCTCAGTTCATCGCAACCTCTGCCTCCCAGGTTCAAGAGATTCTCCTACCTCAGCCTCCCGAGTAGCTGGGGTTACAGACATGCACCACAATGCCCCGCTAATTTTGTATTTTTAGTAGAGACAGGATTTCTCCATGTTGGTCAGGCTGGTCTGGAACGCCCGACCTCAGGTGATCCACCAGCCTCGGCCTCCTAAAGTGCTGGGATTACAGGTGTGAACCCCCATACAGCTGCATGGTAGTTCACCTTTCCCACTGCCCAGTGCTGTCTCCCTTATTCCCTCAGAGATGTTCAAAGTGAGATGGATTTGTTCTTCCTATAAACTTACCTGTTTATTGTATCCCTGTTTTGATGCATTTAAGTCACCCCATTCATTCTGAGAATCTACCTTAAATGAAATAAAAATGTTAAGGGTGTATACAGTTTTAGCTAAAATAATGTTTATTATAGCATTATTTATAATAGCAAACAAGTCAGGATAAAATTTTTAAAAATTAAAATAGGGGATAGATATGTGCCAAAAGTCAACAGATGATGAGACAGTGGAAACAATAAATGTGGAAAACACCTAAGAAAGTATGAATAGTGCTTTGACTTAAGCATCATTGTTCTAATGCTGTATTTGCTTCCTTCCCCAAATTATCTATATTCTGTATGAATTTATTATTCATATTCATATTCATTCTTCTATTTAACAGTATTCTACAGAATACTCTTCCATGTTATCCAGGAAAATCCCTGGATAACACATACTTAAATATCTACAGCAACAGCTGCAGTACCATAGAGTTAAATATATAAACAAACTTTCACCACTTGCTCTGGTGCCTTATTTTCCTCTAACATTAGAATAACTTAATAACCTTCTTTGGATTTTGAAAATTTCCCTTGAATCTCTCTCCCAATTTCCCAAAATATAGGTGGCCATTTAGTTATTTTTGTGTGTGTGTGTGTGTGTGTGTGTGTGTGTGTTTGGCTTTGAGAGTCTTTTTGAATTTTCTAAATTATGCTACCTTACTGCTTCTGCATGAACTCTGTGGCATGGACTGAATAAATATATCAAAAAATCAAGTCTTTCTTGTCAACTACATTCCAAGATTCTTCCCAAAGGTGGCAGTAATCCATGTGGCATTCAAACACTTTTAAATATGTCTAAAGTGTGTGTTTATTGCTCTAATTATTTTCCGTGAAAGCAGTTCTACTTTATTACCCAAATGAGAGTTATTATTGTCGTTCCTTCTGATAATTGCATTTGTGGTATTTATTTCGGGGTTTTTAAGATCCTTTAAAACCTATTTAGTTTTTTTTTAATGAATTTAATGCTAATTAAAATAATGGATTAGTAGGCTTGGAAAATCAAATCACTATTCAGCCAGAACAATAGAAGAGCTTATTTAATTGACCACCCTGAATCATATTAAACCAATCCTGAAAGAATCATCACACAGATTCAGATATTGCAGATAATGTCGTTCTTTCTATATGAGATACTAAAATATTTTTCCAGATATTTTTAAAGAGTAAATTAAAGGCTGATTAAATTAGTAAGTGGTTAATCTCTGATCTCATATAGAAGGCAGATGGATTTTTTTCAATAAACTTGTATCATTTTTAAAGTTAATTTCTGTGGACATAGTTATTTCAACTGATGCTATGGAAGTCAAGCAACATTCAAAGTAGGGATTATTAACACCATCTAATGCTTTGTTTTTGATAACAGGTGACTATGGACAGTGAATCAAAGCTACTATACAGTTTTCAACCAGGGTGACAATTTGTCTATCAGGATTAAGATTATAGTAGAAGGGTAGCACTTCTTTATTAGAAAATGAGTGACATTTTTAAATAAAATGGCAAATTATTTGCCATGGTTTATAAGTTTATAAAAGTTTTAAACTTGTAGTTTTGCAAATATTTCTTTATTATCAAATATTTATTAACATTTATTACCTTTGTTATTAAATATATCTGTATTATCATGTCAACTGAATTTATTTCTAAAAAGTAAATCTATAATAAATTTAATTTGTTTACTGAATTTTATAAGCTGACTAAATGTTTTGGTGTTTACAGACAGATTCTGCAGAAAGAAACCAAATCTAACTCGGTTCAACAAATTCTTGATTCATCAGATTTGTTTTAAGATGTGACTTCCGGCTGTTTCAACAGAACGACACTACCTGCAAGTGTGCACTAACCTAGAGAAGGTTCAGACATAAACACTCATGTGCCATGTTGACGATGTACTCTAATACAACCTTTTTGGAGGACAATTTTTAAGTATGGTAAAGTCTCTAAAATGGACTTAACTATTTGTCCCACAATATCTTTCTAATTGTTTTTTGGAGACAGGGTCTCACCATGTCTCCCAAGCTGGTCTCAAACTCCTGGGCTCAAGCAATCTGCCCAATTGGACTTTGTCTTTAGTCCCAGCTGCTAGGGATGCTGAAGTGGGAGGATGGCTTGAGCCCAGGAGTTCCAGGCTGCAGCGAACTATGATTGTAGTACTATACTCCAGCCTCAGTATTTTGAGACTTTGTCGCAAAATAATAATAATAATAATACATAATAATAATAACATGTTGAAGTTCTAAGAGCCAATGTGGGTATTTTGAACTTGGACTTCGGGGAGGTAATCAATATTAGATGACACCATGAGGGTGAGGCCTCCGTCTGATGGGCTTAGTGTCTTCTCAGAAAAGACACCAGAGAACTTGCTTTCTCTCTGAGCATTTGCACAAAGAAGAGGTCATGTGAGTTCACAGTGGATGGTGGCTCTCTTCAAGTCAAGAGGAGATACTTCAGAATGAAACTTACTTAGTGGCCAACTTGATATTGGACTTGTTAGCTTCCAGAAATGTGATAAATAAATTCTTTTGTTTTATACTCCTGGTCTATTGTATTTTGCTATGCAGCCTAAGCTGACTAATGCATTTATCACAGCTTATTATCCTAAACATCATTTTGTCTGTTGATTGTTTCACCAAAGCTTAAGGCCTGTATGATATCAGTAGGAAGCAAGTTAATAGTATTTTATCTTAAACATAGATTACTAAAATAAAACATATCGAGGGCCTTTGCCAAATATTATTTAATATAATAAATGTATGATTTAGCATAGTTCTATCATAACTTAGAAGGAGCATATTATTTCAAAAAGCTTCTAAGAGTATGGCCTTATATTCTGTTTAGTTATGAATGGGAGCCTATCTATTACATAAAATTTAAGAATGTATTCTGTATTAGTATTAGACCTGTTTACAAGTACTTTCTTTTTTACTCTGTTTTGTTTGATGTACTGGTTTAACACTTGAATCCCATAGGTTAATTTAAACTACCATGGGACTGCCAAGTTATGGGAATACTTATGGGTTTTAGTTCATATGTCACTATATCTGAATTCTAGCTGCATCAATTAAAACATAAATGTCTCAATGAAATAAAAATTGGATTAGAAAAAAATGTTTCATAAATGCTCAGAACACTCTTCCATTATATTGAATACAAAACTGCTAGACTATACCGTCTGCATACAGATGCCAAATAGGTGTAATGCAAATCAGGAACAAGTCATTGACAGATAAATTAAATAGTCATGATCTGAATATTGAGTTTAGGCAAGCATTGCAGTCTATTGGCGCCAAGCTAGATTTCTCATCCTGTACAAAAATGTTATGTTGTTCTCCATAAGTAGTCATCCATCTAAGTGACTTCGAGGCCCCTAAGACCCGAATAGACAAAGCTCATCTATCAGCCTCTTGACTTCAGTCAGAGCCACAGCAGGTGCCGTAATGAGCTGAGTTCCACATATACTGATCATTTTGTTCCAGGAGCACATTTTAAAATCTCAATTTTGTTGTAATTTTATAGTGAGATATTATAATAGCTGGCTTTCTTTAAGAACACTTTTTGATGTGGTAACTCCTAGCTATGGACTATGATATAAAGAACAGCAGAATACATGTTTTTGAAGGGAGATATCTCATAATTTATGCTTAGCCTTTTGTTTGACTTCAGTGGGAATCTGGGAAAAATGATTTTCTAATAACTAAATGCGGCGAGGTTTGTCATCTACCAACAGAATGTTTCCAAAGCAGACTAGAATGGCAGGATCTATAAGATGGAGAACAATTACAGAAGCAATTTTCAATTCAAAACAGGTGATTCTATTACACATATGTAATTAGTGTATCAAATCCAAACTAGTATCGTAATTTCAAGTAACAGATTTAAATTTAAAAATTAAGTTAAACCACTCATTTGGCATCATGTTCAGAAGTAATAGTTCTGTAATATAATTAAAGTTTTTTTTCCTGATAAAGTTACAATGTTAGTTACTCAAAATAAATTCATAATGATAACATTTCTCCTTTGAAATAATTTGAAATTTGATGTAATTTCAATGAAAATAGCAAAGGTATCCTGTTAATGACTGTGGGTGGAGAGACCAAAATCCCTAGCAAGAATAGAAAATACATTTCGAAATCAAGAATAATAAAGAATGAGGTTTAAGTGATATATTTGCAATTTGTGAAACTGTAATAGGCTTTGTAAAATTTTGAATAACGATGTATACACTATAAATCAATGTAATAGAAACTCCAAAATATGTAAAATATAAAAGCAAACATTCAGTGAGCACTCACCAAGTTATAGATGCTTCTCATGCATTGTCCAATTTTTCTCCAAATTTATTGAGATATAACTGACAAATAAAAGTTGTATATATTTAAGGTGTAAATGTGACGTTTTAATGTTAAGTATACTTTGTAAAATGAATACCATAATCAAGCTAATTAATATATTCATTACCTCACATAGTTAACTGTGGGTGTGTTTTCCTGTGTGTGTGCTGAGAATACTTATAACCTACTCTCATAGCAAATTTCAATATATAATACAATATTATTAAGTATAGTCACCATGTTGTACATTAGTTTTCCTGAATGTATTCATCTTATAACTGAACATTTATATCCTTTAACCAACACCTTCCCATTTCGCTCAACCCATCCCCCCTGGTAACTACTCTTTTACTCTCTGTTTCTATGAATCTGGTCTTTTTAGAATCCACATATAAATGAGATCATGCAGTACTTATCTTTCTGTTCCTGGTTTATTTAACTTAGCATAATGTCTTCCAGTTTCATCCATATTGTCACAAGCGGTATAATTATCTTCTTTTTAAGGTTGAATAGTATTCCACCGTGTATATGTATCACATCTTCTTTATCTATTCATTCATCAAGAGACATGTAGATTGTTTCCATATTGTGACTATGGTGAATAGCGTTATGCATTGCTTCTTTTGACCATAGTTGCCGACTTACAGAGAAACTATAATTTTGCCTGTTTTAAATTGAGAAGAAACTGAAGCAAGTAAGTAACAGAGGTGGATTCTTTTTATTGAGACTTAATTGATATACAATAAACAAAGTGCATTTAAAGTGTAAGATTTGATAAATGTCATCTGCAGAAACACTACCACATTCAAGTTAGTGAGCACACCATCACCCCCCAAAAGTTTCCTTGTTATCCCTTGTAATCCCACCTTTCTATTTCTCCCCATAGCCGCTTATGTGCCAGTTACAAGAAACATACTTGAAATGTAAAGATATGAATAGGTTTAAAGTAAACAGGTGGGAAAAAATATGTAGCATGCAAAGAGTTAACACAAGAAATCTGGTGTGGCAATGTTATAATAAAAGTAGACAACACCAAGAGTGTTCTAAGTGAAAAGGAGAAATTATTATAATAATAAAAGGGCCAAATCAGAAAATTGTCATAATACTATTAATAATTACATATATACCTAATCATTGAACTTCAAAATTCATTAAGCAAACAAACAATCAAACAAAACAACACAAAACTAGTAGCTACTCTACTGGATATGGCAGGTGTAGATCAGAAAGTTTTACTGGATGGTGCTGATCTATAGTTTTCTGAAGCATAACCCAAGAATCTTATATTTAGCCACATTTTATCCATCTATAACAAGAACAGACTCCTAAAAATATAAAAAATTCAGATAAAAAAGCACCTACGAGTTCTTCTTGAAAAATCCTTCTCAATAAGGTACGCTATCTGACCAAGATTTGGTGCCCAATAAGGAACTCTGAAATGAAGCTCTATCATGGCATAGACTAGAAGGGAGGGGAGGGAATTGAAATTATTACATAGGCAATAGAATCAAGGTGATTGGTAACTCTTATTATAAAATGAAAGGCCGTGTAACATATAATTCGTAAAAGAAATGCTATAAATATAAAATTCTATAAATTGTAAGCAACTAATTTAAAAATCTATTTCAAATAAAAGAATGAGGGAGGAAGCATGAAAAAATTAGGAGGAAATTTAAATCAGCAAATGTCTGTATATAAAACATTTCAAATATCAAGAAACCATAAAATATAATATCTAATAGTCTGACATTTATAGTCACACTTGTATGGTAAGATCATAAAATGGGATAAAATCAAGTATTAAATTAATTAAAAACTCAGTTTGGATAATAAAACAAAATACAAGACATATGCCTAAGAACTTTGAATGTAAAAATATGAGCGTAAATACATGAGGCAAATATAACCAATAAAAAAGTTAGAGCCATCAGTATTGATAGCAGACAAAATTGATCTTAGAATCTAAAGCATTAAATGAAATCCAAGTCATGTAATTCTCAAAAAGCATAGTTCCAAATAAAACAGCATAAAAAAACAAGACACAATAACTTCAGGAAGTACAATAAGAATTACACATCAGACTATTTAAACTGTCTTTGCACATCACAGATCAAGTAAGTGACAACAAAATTAGAATTATATAATTAACAATATAGAGTACATAAGTACTGTAGTCTCTAAAGAGTAGATAATATCTTTTCTTTTCAAGGTTTTATATTGTATTATAAATGACCCTAATACCTTCTAAAAATTACAAATTAGAAACAAGTCATGAAATAAGGAATAAAAACATAAGTAAACACCTATGGAAACAAAGCCACAGTATTATCTTGGGCATCTAAAACAGTCCTCTAAATAATTTAAATCCAGTAGTCATCAAAACTAAAATTCGAGCATAGGAAAACATATTATATATAGTTAAGCTAAAATCACAGAAATTATCTGACTCAAATGTTACCATTTTTCAATAAGAAAATAATGAAAAATTGAACTAAATATTAGATTTTCGATCAGAAATCAGGGAGAGTATATTATACAAGAATGCCGGAAGATTTAAATGCTGTATTTCAGTGCCTCAGATTTAACAGTTTAACTCTTTACTGAATTACAAGAATGTTTAAATAATATTCATATTGATAGAGGCAAAATATTTTGAATGACTTTATAAACTATAAAGCCTG